CTAATAATGAATTACGTGGAAAAAAAAGTTTGACATCAGAACTGTCATAAAAGTACGATCAAAAATCATCAACAATAAGATTTGACATGAAATATCTCATGTTAAATGACTATTATTGTTTGTGCAGATATTTCATGAAAATTTCTTTTCTCACAAAAAAATTAGTAAAGTAAAATGACAGTGCTTATTTAAAAGTGAAATACTGCACAAAACTTTGCTTACTTTTTTTTCATTACTTTGACATGCAAATTTTATTAATGCTTATTACTTTTGAAATAGAAAAAAGTTCAGTATTTTGTGAGACTGACTAAAAGTTTTCGTCGAAATAAGTAAATTTTCATAAATTCTTTTTTTAAACAAGTTTAGTTTCTTGCAACAAAATTGCGAAAGACAATTTCAATTTGCATTTTATGATTTGAATATTATTAGTACTTGTTGAGAAAAGCATTATAATATTTAAAAGATTCTTTTTCTCAGATCAATCTTATCTTCTGACTTTTATTTGACCTCCCATATGTCGACTGTATACTTCAAAGCAGCAATTTTGGTGAATATTTTCTGTCAAAAAAAGAAAAACAAACTAGACAACGCCTTAATCGTCAGAAATGATTTTTCGATAGAATTTTGAAAAATTCAAAACTGCTGAGAGTGAATGTCATTTGCTTCAATATAAATCAAATTAGCGATTAATTAGAACGCTCAAAAAATGTGCAGTGGTTTTGCTCTGTGTAAAACATAACACCGTTTGTGACAAAAATGAAAATTTTCATCTCTCTGCATAAGAGTTTAGAGTTTGTTCAAATTAACTGTTACATAAAGTTTGCTAAAATCTGTTTCAAATACTTCTAGTTCATGCTATCAAACACCTGATATTATGGTTCACGAATATTGCACAATTGGTCACCCACAATTGTGTCATTTTTTTTGATGATTGCTTGCTTTTCTACTAGATTAAATAAAATAAAAGTATTTTACAATTAAATAAAACACGTTAAGCACTCAATCTGAGATAATAATTTCATTAGCAGTAGTTCTTAGCTGAGCTTTTGTACAAAAAAAATATACGCTGACAATTATTCCATCTTTAAAAGACACATTTCGTTATTCAATTGTCTGAAATTATTCAAAACAGATTTGTTTTATAAAGTTAATTTCATGAAAGAAACACTGAGAAATGACAACATAAACATGAGGAAAGGCCAAAATGGTGAAACTCTATTAAAAGTCGTATTTCATACGTAACACAGTCCCAGATCACAAACAGTTACTATTCTGAATGTATTAAGTCTACTGAAGATGTCAGTTACTTTTAAAAATAGGCATGTTCGTAAAATCACATCAATAATGAATATGGATGATCATTGGTTATGTATTTTTCCTTAAAAATCATCTCTAATTTCATTCATTATCAGAAGTGTTACATTAAAAAAATTTTTTGTGATATCCGTGTAACGTTCTGACCTCAATAATTTATAAAAGAATAAATTACTTTATCATAGAACTTGCTTGCGCTTAGTTTCAATAATGAAAGTGTTAGCTATGATCAAAAAAAGGTATTTGCTGTTGTTTGTAAACATTATTCACATCTGTTACCTACAATCTGTTATGACCATTGACAGATACAATTTCAGAGCGATCATATACTAATTACGAGGATTAAACAATGCAACGCTTCTTCAATTTTATGAACTGACCTGTTCAGAATTGCTGTAGAACTTGGTACGTAAACTAGATAATATTTGGTCAGTGAAGCAGTATCGCTGTGACAGAAATAATGCTAGTCACATGAAGTCTTCAACATTTAATTTATTCATGCATAAATAGAGCAGGTCAAAGGAAGTTCACTGCTTGTGCAGTTATTAGCAATTCAATCACATTATCACGGTACAAAAAAAAGGGAAAAAAAGAAAAACAAACAACAATCAATGCATTATTATAAAAACAAATAAAAATTTTAAAGTAAGCAAAAATTATGAAGTGTTTTTCAATTAATAAAGTATCCTTAATGATTTATAAACAAATCGAGATACATTTTCGTAAACGGTAATGAAAAGCAGCAATAACTGTAGTCAGAATAGCAGTATTAGTTGAAATAATAGCAGTAGCATTATTTCTGAAATAATTTGGTGTAAAAAAAATAAGAGAAGTAATAATACACCGATGGTCCTGACCGCGCACTTTGAAGGGAGTGTGTGCTTCATAGTTTAGAGGTATATACTTGAGTAGCCTGTCTGTGGCACCTAAGGTTTTAAAAATATGCCCTTTAAAATTGTCTCTTCACTTAAAAAAAATTATCTGTACTAACTGAAAATAAATTTACATGGTATTCTGGCATCATCTTATTCTTCACACATGAGAAATAAAATTGAGTACAGATGATACATGTTTTAGTTTTATATGCAAAAATTTGACTTCTCTCCAAAATGATTGTGTAATTATATGAGTGGCTGATGGAATTTAAAATTAATTGAATGAAAAGAGATTTATTCAAGAAATCTTAAGAAAAAATTAAAACTTGAATTTTTTTAAGATGAAAGGTGAAACTTTAGGCTTCTCAAATCATAAAACACACAGCAAAAACAATGAAGAATAGAACAGCTTAAAGAGGCTTATAGCCCAACTTCGAAATTTAAAATTTGTTCAAAAAAACACACAATAAAAAGCTTTTTGTTTCATACAACCCGTCTTTGTGAATAATATGTGCCTAAAGGATAGAAGCCAGGAAATACTCTTGTATAAGCATAGTTCCGAGCTAAGCAAACATGCGCACAAAGAAGAACAAAACAAATAACAAGTTCATGTAATTTAAATACTTAACTCCAACATAATATCCCAGAATTTAAAGACATTTACAATACGCATACAAAGACACAAGTGAAACACACACATATATATATTGTGGCCAAAATAACAAATATAACCCGTACCAGAAAGTAAAATAATTGCCTTAAAAGCAAACCCGAGCCTTATGTTATTTGACGGAAGTCTTGGAGCCCATGTTACTCAATTGGATGGAGCTTTTACGATTCAATTATATGTTTCATTTAGAAGCAGTTAAAGTATGAGAGAGAATGAGAAATTCGTTCATACTAATAGTGTAAAGAATTACTGAAAGTTATATCCATATCACTGTAATCATTACCGGGTTTTGAATTCTAGCAATTATAATTTTGAATAATCAAAAATTATGCTGATTAAGTTCAAAGTATGCTTATTACAACAATGAACTTGTGCATAATTTTAAATTAAAAGACCACTACTTTCTGGAAGCTGCTGTTTGAATTTTCAATTCATGGTTTCATAAAAAAAGTCGTTGGATTGTAACGAAGATTTCTTGCATCGTAAATTTTATCGCTTCGTACTCTACTAGTTTTATTTATTATAAAATGCTTCCAAATTTCTTGATTCGCAGTGCATTTTCAAGCTGCATTTTATACCCGATCACCTGATTCTAAAGTGAACGCCTAATTGGATCAAAATACTTAAAAAGTTAAAATTAAATTGATAGGGCAAGAAGAGCACACTGTACGATTATCATAATCTATTTTAAATTATATACAAAAAAGTTTGGGAGCTAACAGAAACAAAAGTTTGATCGGATAACTAACAAAAAACATGAATTACTGAACAATCTCAACTGGTACTTTAAAAACAATTAGTTTAGAGTCCACCATGTAGGAGACATTTTTTACATGCTAAAACAATCAACAACAAACACCAATAGTACCAAGGAAAAATAGTAAAGTAAAAAAATGTTGGAAACTGGTATGTTTTGAAGGCTTTTAAACAAACTTTAAATTCTTTGTTTCAAGATGAGTTTTTTCACTAGCAATTGTTACAGGTAAGAAAATTGAAATCACTGCATTTTAAGCTATACTAAATTGAAACAATAATAGGTCTTTTGGCTAAAACTGAAAGGAAATACTAAGAGTTAATAATCATTTGTGCAAAATAAATTGAGACTCAAAGTAAGTCGTTGTCTGAATAACTCTGGGAGCAACGGAAAGACGACAGCAAATGCAGACAACGAATGGTTATGTTTTTGATTAATTGTATTCAAAGACAAATTCTTAAATTATTGAAAAGTATTGGATATTTAAAAAAATAAATCGGTGAATAACCAATTAAAAAAGAGTGGAAATCAATCAAATGCAATCAGTGCATTCTTTTTCCACTCATACAATTTTTCACTGAGGAAGAAGTCCAACTTCATATGCCAAAAATACATTTTCTATATTCTTTGCTTTTACCAAAATTTGTGCAAAAAACGGAAAAATTGTTGTAACTCAAAAATGATGGAAAATTCTGCACGAAATTTGTCTTAATCAAAACCATTTCGGTAACGAGAACTGATTTGAAACAAGATCTCCTGATAAGCAATGATTTCTTTGGGCCATTAAATTTGTGTAAATCGTGGATCCATTTTGCTAAGACAAATAATTTTAACAAAATTAATTTTCATCATAATTTAATGCATCGATATGCTGGAACTATCAACCTCAGCAAAATTTTAAATATTGATCAATGATAAAAAATATTAATAGTAGTAGAGATGGTGGTATCATTCATCAATCAATTAATCAATCCAATTCACCGATAATTTGCTTGACGTGAAATTTCAACATGTGGAAAGTTTCATTTGAAAACTTTTTTCTGAAAAAGATGTAGGAATTGGAAAAGCCAAGAGTGAGTGCAAGCTAGAAAGTCAATTTATGTAGATTTTAAGTTGCATTATCATAAATCTCTTTTTTTTAATTTCTGGATTTTATCATCTATGCATGTTTACAATTCAAAAAAAAAAAGTTAAGGAGGTGAGATTGTAAAGAGCAAGGCATTCAAGGGTGGAATGTTTCATTTTTACCTTTTATGGACAAAAATTTGAAGTGGAAACAGAAGAAAAAGTTTAGCTATTCGCTATTTAGCTATGAAATGGCATACTAATAGACTGATGATCGTTGCCTGCTAAAGTTAAGAGACCCGCTTGATGATCCTTCTGTTATCTACTTGTAATTGAGCATCGTATTTTGAAACTGCTGATCCTGAACAGTTGATGTCGAGGATGTTTGTTGAGTATAACACTGAATCTTTTCCAATGGTGTTATCATATTGAACCTTTAATATCAAAAACTGTTAATTAATATAGTCAATAAAGTTTTGAATGTGAAAATTCTGGAAAATCAACATATTGTTTGCGAAAGCAATCAAATAAATGCATTGTGGCATTCTCGAAATCATTAATATATGGCATAAAGTGCTAATAATTGACTGATTTATCTGCCTATTTACCCTGCCGGCCTAGGAGCTTCAGATTTAAATGCTGGATTATCGAAGGGAAAATACGTTCTGCTTGTGCTTAAAGTTCTGCCGAATGCAGCCATATTGAGCCGAAATGCAGAAGGATCGTTAACCATCATCTGATTTGCAGCAGCTGTTGAAGCAGCACTTGGATAACTACATGCTGCTGCTGCGGCAGCTGAACTTGTTGCAGAACTACTTGCAACAGCTACAGCTGACTGATTCGCAGCTGAGAGTACCGAAGCTTGTATCCCTGCATTGAAGTGACCTGTAATCAGCCTCCTGCAAAAATTTCCAAAAATCTTTATAAATTTAACTTTTTCAAGCCAAATTTATAAAGGATTTTGAACATGCAATCCTGACAGGCAAAAACTTGCTGATTTGATTTTGCAAAGAAATTAACACTTACAGTCGATAACCGTTCCAATTGCAATGAAAAACTTAAACCAATAACAGTTATATGATTCCTCAATAGAAAAGTAGTTCTTATCAAGTAAAATAAGTGCAAATGATATAATTTAAAAAAGGTTTTAAATTGTTTTACTTGTTATAAATGCTAATCTTATCAGCTTTTTATAATCTTTAAATTAGCGCTAAAACTTATCAATCTATTTAACTTCGGATGAAAACAAACGAACTAAAATCGATTTGTGGCTGTGTCACCGAAGTCAAATCCGGAATGCCATGTGCGGCTGCTGCAGCCATAGTCGGCGCTGATGTAGCAGCGGCTGCTTCATTCCGCCATGCGTTTAAGCCTTCTAAGCCTTCCACAAAATTACTTCTGTAATTTGTACTGAAATAAAGTTTAAAAAAAAGATGTCAAAAATAATAACTGCTTAACAACAATGCAAAATATTTTATTATTTCGAGCTCTGCATTGTAACATCATAATTAATTTTATTTTTTTCAAAAAAAAGTAGTTTCATAGTCGTAAACATCAACGGATTAAAATTAATGTTCAACTTAAACTCTAAAAACCATTCTAAAAATAAAAGTTTGCAGCTTAAAAAAGTTTCACCGAGCTTTTACTACAGAAAATTATCAGTGGAAACTTAATACATACATGTTTCTCCTATCAGCATGCTTCGTCATGTGTTTTGCAAGATAAGTTTGCTGTGTGTAGGATTTACCACAATATGGACAGATGTGCACCTAAATTTTTCTATTATTTTCATAACAAGTTAATCACAAGTAATTGAAAAACGCAGGTAGTGCAATTGGTGAAAAATGTATTAATAGTAAGTGAATATTACTTTCACATTTTTGAGTTAATAATTGAAAAAACTATTAACTTCTTACCACTCTCAATTCTTAATTACAAAAGGACATGCAATCTATTTTTTGTGCACATGCATGCAATAGAAAATTAATTACAAACAAAAAAGTGAACTGTTCAAAAATTTCTGCTGTATCTTTGATTGGTCGATAGACATATTCTTCAAGGTGGTGCAGAAATGTTTCAAGTCTTGCTGCCTACATTTTCTATAGTTTAATTTTTTGATTCTTTTTTTAGTAGTCGTTTTATTAAGCAAGAAATGATGCAAAATAAAAATGCTTTGAAGGGGAAACAAAAAAAAAGGATCAGTTGAAGAATACAGCAGCAGTACATAAGCAACAGAGATTGTGCAGTGCTTATTAAGTAAGCTTCCACCAGCCTATGCATTGTAATTGTATCATGTCAAATTTTTTGTTCTGTTATTGATCAAAGAAAACAACCCAGCTATAGTTTTCTTTGAAAAAATAACATCTTATAACTGACCCATGTAAAATACCTTTAAGTGCTTTGATTCCTTGTGCTTTGGAATATGTTCCAGCAAAGCTTGCTCATCCGTAAAACATTTATAGCAGCTGAAAAATATTACTGCATTATATGTAATCTTATTATATTAATTACTTTTGTCTTTTTAAAGAGAACTAAAAAACTTGAAATCAATCACTTTCCATACTGTATTCACCATCCATATATCACAACTGACTTCATTTAAGAAATCGCAAATTATAAGTGGTTAAAAAAATTGACCTGAATTAATTTGTGAGCAGCAGCTGAAACAGCAGTTATCATCTACTTGAATAAAGATTGATTGCCATGAAAATTATTAGTTCTGCACGTAACTTTTCTAAAGTATGGACTTGTATACCTGTTGCATTTGAACGGCTTATCGGATTGGTGACACCTTGAATGTGATTGTAAGTTTGATAATTGACTAAATGCCTTTTCGCAGCCTTGAAACTTACATTTGTATGGCTTTTCGCCAGTGTGCGTCCTAATATGTTGCTGCAGATGTGATAGCTGTGTGAACTGAAACCTGCACTATTAAATTTTAACCAGTAAAACTGGTCGAAAAATATCTGAAGTCGATTTTGATTACCTTCAACTTTCTATTTTTGTTGGAAATAAAAGTTTGTGTCAAAGAGTACATTTTTCTTTCCAGCAAGCATTTCTCATTTTTGATTTTAAATGCGAATAAATCATTTAATAATGTTACAAAAAGAATTTGTTCCTAAATTTACCAACATAATCATGAAACTAATCCTTTAATTATACTAATGATGATGTTAATAACAGTGATGTTAATCTACAAAATCGCATAAAGACAGTACGACAATGGTAACTAGAATGGTTGCTAAAAAAGCAAGGTAAAAAAATAACTCAAACCTTTTTACCACAATACTGGCAGGGTCCAAAGGGCTTTATACCAAGGTGTATCCTCATGTGCTGCGACAGGTACGAGCTATTTGCGAATGATTTGATACAATGCGTGCATTTATAAGGTTTTGCCTCTCTCATGTGCATCTGATTGTGTACCTGACTGTGCACTTCTGGTTTGGTATCAAAACCCTAAAAATATTTTTGTGCAAGTTTGATTTAATCATTTCGATATCAGTTAACATAATATTGCCACTCATTGTTCTATTCAATTTACAACATATTTATTGATAATATTTTCATATTTAAACACTCTTCATTACTTTCGGTATGAGTAGATTAACACTGTGTTACCTACAAAAGCGCCATCAATCGCAATTTTAACTAGTTAAGAAAATACTTTTTCTCTTCGAATAACACTAAGTTGAACGTTAATTTTGTGACAGAAAAGTTACATTAAGTAAGTTATCGCGCTTTCTCTCTCTTATCTTCGGCATTCAGTTCGATCAAATTAAAAAAATATATATATTTCTTTCAAGAGTAAGAAACTCCCTCCTATTGCTAATTCATTTTTGAAAATTATGTCAAATGTGTAAATACAAGTAAGATAAATTGCATTCTGTGTGAAAAACATAAAAAAGAGAAGAAAACAATGGACAGAGCGAAAAAAATAAGAGATAGTAACCAGTAGAAAGCCTGATATTAAATTCTGGATCGTTTAGTTTCAAATATTTTCATTACGACAACTACTATCATCCATGATTTTAGTTAGTGATCAATACAAAAAATTTTTTACAATTCATTAATCATAAAAACGATTGTAAAATGATTAATAAGGTAACGAGTAGAATTTTCTAAGTAGAATGCTACGAAAATGATCAAAGGAAATTGACCGAATGGGATTCTTTACAAGAAAGAGAACATGTATTAAGAAAAGAAGTCTTCTTCAGGCACTAATTCTGAGCGCTATTTACTGTTACCTTAAAAATCAGAAGAAATTCAAATTATACTTTAGTGTAAGTATTGCATAAGTAAGGAGTTTACTTCTCTTTCTGATGGACAGTGGAGCTTGTACTTAAGTAACACCCATACTCAGTTATTTATAAAATGGAATTCGAACGATAAGGGATAGAAATTACGCAACAATTACACAAGTTGAACTAAAGTCTGCACCAAGAAAATTAAAAGTTTACTTATATTACAGAATGTGATTGGCTTGCAGAAGAATTAACTAGATGCAAAGCCAAAAATATTGACAAGACACTAAGACTAAGACTGATTTTTTTCTGTTTTTTTTAGCTTAGCACGAATATTAATTAATAGGCCTTTCATGGTGTGATTGAAATAAAAAACAATAAATAGAAGAGGAAAAAACAGGTGCAGAGAAAAGTAACAAAGGTATTCAATTAGAAAATTTTTGAATGTAAGCAAAGAAATCAGTGTCAAGAATTCTGCGTCTGGTAATTTGAAAACATAAAACAGTAGAAAAATAGCGGATTTTGGAAATGTAGTCAATCCAGATGATATGACACAATAAGGAATCACACCTGATGGCAATGGTTGATGAAAGAAGAGAGGTCGTGCAAGAGCCAACGACAGCACAGAGCCATAATTTCGTTCTTTACAAAAATTAGTTTTATGACGATGAAAATAACGGGACACCTCTACTTGTCAGTTCACGATAATTTACAACTTCTCTGCGATGACAGTAAACACAGCAAAATGGAGCCAAATATATTGTTTCTTTTTGGCTAACAATTTTCAATGCATTTTGATGGAGAAAAAAAAACTTCAAAGCTTTTTGATAACATAGCCAACATAGCAAATTGACTTGAAATTATATAAGGAAAAAATTGATATCCATTTTGTTTCCTGTCCAATTAAGCACCTTTTCTGACTTTGCGAAAGCAATCTTTTTCATGTCAAATATTTCATATTATAATAAATACCACTTCTTCTCATTCTTCATATTATAAAGTATCAAAATAAACTGATTGCAGAATACTATTCTAACAGGCTAGATTTGAAATGATGGCAACTACACTGTTTACAAAATACAGACTTGCAATTTTTTTAATCACAAAAATGTTTTTTACTTCAGTCCTTCCATGAAAATACATAAAGATAGACGATTTCGTCTAAAATATTGCATTAAATATCTCAATTTATGGTTAAGAGAATAAAATAAGATGCTATAAAAGAATAATAAAATTCTGAGACTGATTGTTGTGCATTTTTTTATTGTGACAAAATGGTAACGATTAATACTGAAAGATCGTTACATTGCAAACAATTGTTTTTAAGGAAATTTTCTTGTTTGACTAATGAGAAAGTTGAAGAAAATGCCTGTTCCCATTTTCTTGCTTTCAAACGGTAATCCTCTCACTCATTCATAGCTGTTGCAGTGAAATTAGCAAGAAAATTTAGTTGAATATTTTATGCGAAAAAGTCAGTGACTCAAAAAGGGTACAATAAGATTTTTTTTATTTGGCATTACGAGAAAAACTTATCGAACAGTACAAAGAGAACGATCTTGGGCCAACTGCTTTAATTTGTTAATGTTGGAATGACTGCTCGCAGCTGTTGCAAGTAATCATTTTTTATATTTAAATTATCAGCATAATATGCCTATCTTTATTTAAACATTAAAAAAATTATTTATATGTACATGCATGTGAGGGCGTGAATAAGTAGATGACTTATTTCTGAACGCTTATTTTTATAAATTCACGATATTACGGTACTTATAAACATAATGACATCTCTTTGTAAAGACTGCGTATGTAATTGCGAATTTTCGATTTTGGAGGTCTGCTTTGTCATCATGAGAGACAGTGACTACAGAAAGGGGAAAGGAAAAACGAGCAAAAACACTACTGAAGATGTCTCAAATGATCGCAGAACAGTAATGATAAACATCAGAAGAATGTCTGAAGCTAATAAACTACATTTCATTTGAATAGAATGCACAAAATAATAGAGTAAATCGGGATGTTGCTCTTGAAATGTCCAAAAAACATTCAACTCAAAGCTCTCACAAAGTTGAGCTCACATTCAAGTTTTGTTTCTCTTTGGCGTAAAAAGTAGACGCATTACTTGGGTTGTTTCATAACCTGAATACCTTTGCATTTGCCACGGTAAAATTGACCCATGCTCTTTTTCACAGTCGTAACTGCAATCCTTCTTTCAATATCAATAACTAATTTTATTAACAATATTATTAAATTTAACTTTGTATCTTTTCGGTCAAGTATTCAATACTGTCATAAAAAGATACATGAGAGAGGAGAACAACAAGTACAAAAAATTGAATTTGTTTCAAGCAGATTACAGTTTGAAATGATCGTAAAATTAGCTTTCTGTAACATCGACTATGAATAACTGTCACAGTATATTTATATCATCAAGTACTGTATTTCAGGAATTTCAACAAAAAGAGAGCAAAATTTTAGAGTGTTTGGATTGCGACGAATGTGTATGTATATGGCGCAGTATTTCCCTTTCACAATTTCAGTGAGAAAAAGTATTAATTAAGTACGCATGAAATAATTCGGACTGATTTCCTCGATAGAAAACTAATCAAAAAGTCTTCTCAGGACAATATTTACTTTAAGCACGTACTTAATCAAAACGAAGGCAGGGTCACTGCAATTGAAACTGAAGTAAGATATTTTCGTTAAAGTGACTTAATTGTGACATATTACTGGCTAGACAAAAGTTATTAGACAAATTTTAAATACATTTTATAGTTGTTTACTGCACTGAAAGGACTTTCAGTAAGCAATTAAGATAGCTTGTGAAACTTCCGTTTTCTCAATAAGCATGATTTAATTCATTGTGTCAGTGAGGCAAAGAATAGTCGTGTAGAATTTTCGTGAAAGAGTTTGAAGACACTGCAAAAAAGATCTCAAAGGTTATAACAAGTACAATCCACTACTGAAATAAATATATATTATTGTTAGTGCTTGATTTTTGTCTCATAATTTCACAGATAGTGCAAAATATTTCAGCAAAATGACCACATATATCAAAATAGTTCATTGCCGATCATTATAAAAAGCTAAAATAATTTTAAGAAACAATCACTTATTACTGTCGTCGACATAAATCTTATGTAATTTGAATTGAGAACCAGAAATCAACATTAATTTCATTACTTCTCAGAAGATACGTTTTCAGTAAGTAGCAATACTAATTCAATTAATTCCATTCAAAGTATTGATAGTGAAATCAACTAAACTAAGAACTTAAAACTCAAAATTAATTAAAAATTTGAATGATTTCATCATTAACTTTTCCCTTTTTTTTTGTATATAATTGCGAAGGCGTGAGAAAGTTGTTGGCAGTCATGAATAACAAAAAAACGTTACATGGAAGAGATATCGAGCAATAGACATAAGAAAGCACGAGTATCTACTCAACAGTTAATATTATGCGTACTTTAAGTTTGCAACTTTGCGTGTGCAAAATGACTATCAATATTCAAATTGATATGTTTGGTAAACTCAGTACTAAACTGATAGCAAAAATAAGTTCAAGTCTCCATCGCTTAAGATATTATCATTATTGTTAAGATTTTTTAGTCATTTTGAACCTGGAATCTGAATCAAATTTTGTGTGCATGATGATTTCGTAACTTACACAAATAATTTCGAAAGCAAGTTGCAAAGGAATCAAACATAAATAGTTATTACTCTCCGATGTAGCAGAATGAAATATTTTACAGAGCAGCAAAGTAGAATCCTGCAGAGTACTCAAAAAATTAGCGAACATGTATGTGTACAGCACAGCATAACAGAAACATCTCAAGCAAGCCAGTAACAGGTTTTATTCAGTCATTCATTATAATGCCTCTTCCTTTCTTGTGCTTTACATGGAGGATGAATGAATGAATGATCATGATAATGAGAAATGAAAGGACCAAAGTTTCATGTTCGAATCTATTCTATTTTTCTACTCAATTTGTTGTACTCTTTAAAAGAAGTAGAGATTGCTTAAAGAATACCATCTCTTATTCGAAATAAGTATGTGCCACCTTTCTCTGTAAAATAATTTAATTGGTAGTCAAAAAAGGCATTATGATCTTTACATGCCAGAACTTACTTTCGTTCTTACTTCACAAAGGCCACTACCGGAACATATAATGA